ATCAAGGAATACGATATAGGCGCTGCATACTATGTTGTCTTTGGCAGAGGTATGCAGAGATCCTTGTGCTGAAACTTCTGTTCTACTATTTAAAAAAGACGCAGGCTGGTTCAAAATGGCTGAAGTACCATAGTTATTAGAGATAGTGCTTGCGTGATCCGCTAGCCTCAATTTAAGAGCTTTGATTGTCTTTTCATTTAAATAATAATCCGGAATTTTAGACGAATTATAATTTGTTAAAAGTACTAGGTCGTTGTATTGCATACCATTTGTACCTTATTTCACGTCCTCTCATACAGAGGATTTTTCAAAGCAATTCCAAGGTGCAATGCATAGCCAACTTGCTAAAAATTTGTTACATCTATTATTTTTTTCACGATTCTGGTTGGATCTAAAACAACAGCTTTATGGCGCATTTCTAGTATCATTTCTGAGAGTCTTTGGTGATTCGAGTCCGCGTCGTTAATTTATGAATTAAGCTATGTGTAGAGATGGTTTCAATCTTTAAGCGATGCACATCCATCTTCCGCTGATAGTCAGGTTTTCCGTCTTCTAATTTTCTCTGTCCAGTTTTCTGCACGTTTTCGACCAGCAGAAGAACCACATCAATAGACTGAGCTGTCTTATTCATTTAATCCGAAATTAATATGTCTAGACGATTGTGATCAGTGGCACAGTCCGTGAATATAAGGTAGCCGATACAAATGTACATTAGCCATCCTGAAACACGTTCACTGGATGATATTAATAACACGGCGTTCTTTCTGAGAATGGTCCTCGTTGAACTTTTAACTTTGATTTATGATGTTTGAGACGCTATTTTGCCATCTGAGTACTGGGTGTTAGCCAAAACGGTATAAAATGTGAAGACATGTCGGATCGATTCCGTTTTACTGCCACATATCCCGTATTAAACTGAGATGTTTGCCTTCTGTTGGTGTGACTTGGTTTTGCACTGCCAATATTGTAACAGATTTTCCGTTTCCAAATACAATCGTTGTTTTCGAAGTCAAGCATGTATCTCTTCCAGATCGGCGCCATTAAATCTAACCACAGGGTAGTAACCCCCGTGGTAAGAAATCATACTCGGTTTGAAAAAAATCTCTTTTTTCTAAAGTGAATTCACTCACAGTCTTTTCATGACGTATATCGTTTGTGTGTTTTTCCACGATTTTATATAAAGGCGAACTCTTATTCAGAACGTGTGCGCTAAGGGTCTTTAATCCTCCTCTGCTCTTTAAGTGGTTCATAGTCTCCGCGCCTCGGCGGTTTGCATCACCTCATTTACAGATGATCCGGGATCAAGCATACCGTAATCCGATTGCATTATCTTCACTTTTTAGCTAATATCTTTGAATCAGCTACAAGCGTCTATTGTTGTTTATTATTCTACTTAATTCAGTAGATATTCCGAAAGGTAAACTATCCGAAAAGTGCGAAAAGGCACTCGTAAGGACTTACACGTTGACCTGCTGGTCTTTCATTCAATGTCATGTCGAGCGAGAACATCCTAAAGAAATGTTTTGCAATTTTCGAAAAATTCTTCAGTGTCCAATTGCTGCTAATTTCGTTTGCCAACCAATGCTGCGTTCATAGGCCATCACGGCTACTGTAATGGTTAAGGATACAATATCGAAAACAGGGATTACACTTTTTACTGATTATCACATTGAATAAACATGATGTCAGATGGGTCCAGAAGAACTGCAATCCTATGAGGCGAAGGCATTCAGACTGCATTGCCGCGTTTCTTGCCCATTTTAGTATACAACACTGGGATACCATGCCGCTGCTGTGCATAGTCAACGCCTGCTACACGTTTCTCAGCTTTCAGTACGTTTGTCGACG